TGTTTGCATGGTGTTGCCGGCAGGCCAATGTCTGGCGATGGTGACCGCATAGGCTCATGTCTCGACCTGATCGCACTCCCCGGCACGCTTAAATGCTGAGCTCTCGCAGGCTTCCTTGCCATCAAGGGCGACGAAGGCGGGATTCCGGCCTCGTGCCCTCCACGCTTGATAGGTGTGGCCTGTATGGCAGATGATGGAGTGCTGCCCATAATATCGATATGGCCCCTCCGTGGTCCCGTGGAGGGGACTCTCGATGCGCTGGATGGCGGAATACTCGACATCGGAATGAACAGATTATTTGCGCCCTGTGACTCTCTGCTCAAGGCATCGCGGAAGCGATGTGTAGCAGGTGTGACCTTGACCTGTACCGATTCAAATAGTGGATGTCGGGTCGGCGGTTTCTTGGACTCTGCGCCAGGGATTAGCATATTACCTCCAAAAAACTTTGAGGTATCAAAAATTACTCTTAATCGAAGAAAGGCCCCCGGAAACCCGCTTCGCCGCATCCTCAACGATGGCCTTGCCAGCTAGGTCACGATTAGGTTTCCGAATGGCGGTGATGGCATCCTTCAACTCGGCTTCCACCAGAGCCTTCTTCTGTGCCTTGACGTCTTGGACCTTGACGTCATCCAGGGCCGTCATGCTTTGACTCCTGGAAAGTAGACCCGTCCGGTCTTTGGGCGAATTTCGATCGAGCTCGCTGTTTTCACGCTTGAAGGCGGGAATATTGGCCGAGGTTGCAGATCTCAACAACGCAATGGCGTTACCGGGACCTCTGGAAATACTGCGCCGGGACTGCTCCTTGAAAAGAGCCTTTTCTATGTTGTTCTTCGACAAGGGCTTGACAGGACGCTTCGCAGCAGCTCCCGGCTTCGTGCTGGGCTTAGTCGAAAAAGGCTTGGCCTTGGGCTTTGGCGGAGCAATGATGACGGGTCCTCCAAGTTTACGGTTGATGGAATCGCAGATCTCAGGCAACCGAGCAGCGAAGCTGGTGATGTTAGCTAAGTAGAGCCTGTATGATGAATGCAAACTTACAAAGGCATAATGATGTCAGTACAGAAGTCCTTTAGGGGGTCTGCAGACGCCCGCAAGGCTGGATCCCCACCGTTCGCCGCAGTAACTTGAGAACCCTCTAACAGTCTCAACTCATCAGAAGCAGTGGACTGCCAAATGGTGAGACGATCGGCGTGAACGTCCACCAAGACGGGGAAATTGTGTTTGCTGCGCTTCTTCGGCTGAGCTTCTGCTGCCTTCTCGCCATCCCCCTCGCCCGACAGACCAGGTAGTTGGCTCTCCCCCTCTGCCTCGGCTGTACGCAGAGGCTCTAGGGCCAGGATTTCCAAAATCAATATCATCTGTAACTGCGTCTCGCGGGTCCTCAGGAGGGAAACATGGGACTTGATCTGTGCTGGTGTGACGGTCATGTCCTCGTCGCTGAATTCCGGCTTGTTCGAGCCCCACCAGGCGCGCACATGCTCGTCTTCGCCCGAGTACATGCCGTCCTTGCCCAGCTTCATTTTCTTCGTCTTCCTTCGCTTCGACTTGCTACCTTCGTCGGAACTATCAATGTGTGTCTTCATTTTCGAAATTAGATCGGGTATCGCTTCGCGGTACTTTTTGTCGATTTGGACTGTTGTCATGACGAGACTCTTCAGGAACTCTATGAGGTCATTCATATCCATTGTGCCGTCGCAATCGAGATGAAATGCGGCGCGGGCTCGAGATAGCGGTCCCTTTGCAAAGTACGCAAGAGATCCCTACATCTCCATGTCAGCTGAGGCTTCTTTACCGCAGGACAGAACGGTAAACTAACCATTGACTTGTAAAGTGCCTCGGTATATTGTGTCCTAATGGTGTCCATGATGTCACCAGCAGTTTGCTGCGTGGTAGGCTCGGGAACGGGCTGTGGTGTCGGTTCAACTGCGTCCAGATGTGTTTCGATCCACTCGGTGGGCTCAGGCTTCGGCTCGACCGTCTGGACCAGCCCGCTTGGCGTTTGCGGTCGTGAGAAGTCGTCGTTAGACCCCGTCCGCTTCTCTGCTCTCGTCTCGTCGAATGTTGACACCGATTGCGAGCGGCCTCTCTTCCTCACAATAGACTGCTGCAGCGCCTCGATCGCCAGTCTCTTCTCCTTGTGTCCTCTGTGCAAGGCGGCTGTTGTCAATGGCATAGTCTGGCCTTGCTGAGACTCCCTTGCTTCTTCTGCAAGCCGCAAGCGTGTGACATGCTTCCCGACCACCGTCGCCTTCTCGGACAGGGCCAGTAAGTCCACCCAAGGTCCAAGTTTACAGACTGTATAGAGGTTGGTTCCAAAGGCTGTAGCACGTTCGAGCGCGTAGATTGACTTGGAGGCTTCGTTGCGCGCTAGGAGCAGGCTCGGCCTCTCGGCGACTCGGTCTTCGAGATCAAGAATCTTGACTAGGGACTCGTAAAGGCGGCTGGAAGGAAGGTCGCCATGTGGTGAAAAGAGGTCGAGGCTCGACAGCGGAAGGTCTTCTCGGGGAAGCAGCATGAGCGGCTGCAGCGTGCATGGCTTCGTGACGGTGGTGGTAGGATGCACCTAGGTAACGCGTCAGCTATTGACGGACATTGCCTGGCGCGCTGAGACACCTACCTTGAGAACAATTGCAGCCTTCAGCAAGTCCTCCATGGCATGGGAGATACTGCGCTTCCTCTGCGCCGTCGCAGGCGGCGGCAATTCATGTTTGGAGTTCAGAGATCCGTCAGAGCTTGGCGTAAGGATTCCCGATCTTTGACGCGACGCGTCTGAGGGCGGGAACAGCCTGGAGGAAGACATAGAATCATAGGGAGAGGAAGCAGTGAATCGAACTTGAAAATACAGACTGGTCTTCAAGGAAACATAAAGTTCAAGTCAAGTGCCAATCCCACGTACGAACAACGGGTGGAGGGGTGAGTGAAATTGCGGGCGACACTCTAAGTGACATGGGTTGAACGACGGAACGCGACAAAGTGATTTGGAGCTCGGAATGATCGAATGGCGTCACGCGTCAGTGATTTAGCGCACCGTCCAGCGTGTTGTGGTGGCCCAGACGCCCGGGCCCGGGGCACTTGGGGACCCACTTTACCTTCAACGTCAACGGGAGCCTCAAAGTACGGCGCCCTTGGCAAGCTCCGGGTCGATTTCACGGAAGCGGAACGCTTCTTGCCAGTATCACTCAGCTTTTCGCATACATACTATACCTCAAATAATATACCTTAGGTACTGTCACGCCTTCATGTAAGTAGGTTAGGCAGTCAATTCCGTTCAGCTTTATCCTATTTGCGTAGCTCAAGAGAAGAGGTCGGGTGCTTCAATTAGCTTCTATCGGAATTCTTGAGCCTTCCCCTCCGATGCATCGATTCCAAGAAATCACGATCACTCTCGAAGTTCTATCTCTAGTCATAACAGGGCATTGTTTGTGCAATAGCTGCCTTTTGGATGTGCCGTCTAGATCTAGAAATCGGCGTCTACTTCTCTTAGGTCTGACCAATTTCAGGCCGGCTGATTCTCAGCGAAGCTCTGGGACTGCCTGGCTCTTGTACACTATTTTCCGTATACGAGAACTTTGCCACCAGTTGCAGAGGCATTGTAATTGGCATTTCGTGGATGTGTTGCAGAAGATGGTAGAGTCATCCAGTGGTCCCAAAACGGATCCAAGCGACTTTGGCCTCAGTCTATTAGCCTCACTTATCAATCTCAAGTCCAAGTACACGACTCCAATCTACCATCTGACGCGACTAGCACATGGTAAGATCTCTAGGCATCAGATTGCTCCTGTAAACGTCATACTCCAGAGCCGTGTTCGTCACAGCTTGTCACCTGCGCTGAGTTGGATTTATGCTCGTAGCCAGCAACATGATCCCTTAACAGCAAAGGAACTACAAGCAACTCTTATGTTTTATCGCGTCAAAATACCGCAATCTTCTAGAAGTCGGTCACCGATCCTCTACTCACGTCTGATCAATGCTGATAGCCAGTGAGGCAGACAACTGATACCCAACCAATTTGGACATGAATTGAGCTAGAGATGAGAAACACTTGACGCATACTAGCCACAGCTATTTCTCTCGAACGGAGTCTAGTGACCTCTGCCTAATACTCCAAGTCTCACTAATTTGGCCTCACTTGGCTGGCCCCCCAGATTGGCCTCATTCAAATTGGCCTCATTCGAGTCCCCCGAAATTTGGCCTCGTCAGCACCGCCGCCTTCACCCATGGCTACAACCTCTCATCCATCTATAAAAGTCCCACACCTTTCCTTTTCAATTGTCTTCTTCTTGTCTTCTTCTCCAGCTCTCTTAGCCACAAGGCTATGATCAAGTGTAGTATCTGTTCTTCCCAGTCTAACCAACTGGGCAAGCATCCCCACGGGGATCGCGAGCCTGTCCTTTCAACGGTTAACACAATTTTTTCAACTCCGGGAAGACGAGCCTCTGTGTCGTCTCACTCTCCTGAGGCTTGCGACGTTGCTCGCTCTTCTTTTTTCGCGGTGCTACGTTTCGGCGTGGCTCTCCACGAAGAAAGGAGGCATGGGTCTCATCGAGGTAGAGAGGTTACACATGTCGGCTTTCCACTGTGTCCCTGGTATTACACTGCCTCCAGGCGACGCGAACGGAACAACAATCTTGTCCTATTTTGTCTTATTTTCTTTTATTCTCACTTCCTCATCGCGGATATCTCTGGCTTGCCCAGGGGCGCGAAGAGGATGTTAACACGCGATGTTAAGACCGCTGTCTTAGGGTTCGTATCTAGTCTGAAGCAGTCGATCATATGACGCTGATAGCCATAGCAAATCTTAATGATCACTTCGTGTAAGCCGATACCGGCCGTCAAGTTACTCCCAATACCCAGCCCCAGTAAACACCATTCGCGGAAAAGTTCCGGCTCCTCATCTTTACAGAGGTAAACCCATCCAAGCAAATATGAGTTGAACTCAATGACAGAGGACTGCCACTATGATTCATCCGTTCCTCGGCCGAGTCTCGCTGACATATATTTATCTCCGCATACCAATAGACAACTTACCTGGCTACTTCCCGCACAAGTCCATGTTGAAACAAACTACACCTAGGAGATCAACTCCTCCCGTTTCCAAGCCCGTCAAGAAAGGAAACGAAGGCGCCAATAGAAGAAGAGACTTGCCAGATGAACCGCTCAAGCGCCGAAACGTCCAGCTCTCCCACCTACCTGCTCCTCCAAACCCTCCGGCTCTGAGTCAAGCCTTTCCTTCCTTGGTATCAGAATAAACGGGGTCTCACGACCAAACACTCATCTCTACCAAGCCTCAGCGTTTGATTCACAGAACCCACTGGCGTCTTGGACCATCCCTCTCTTCAGACACTGAAACGGAGAGCAGAAGAGAGGTCGGAAAAGAGGCAAAACATCCCACTCGCACCGCCTCCCGTCGGAAAGGTTCGAATAGTGATGGGAGTTGTCTCACAGAGGAGGGGACGAAAGACCCAAGGCTGAATCGTGTGTAGAGAAAGAAAGAGCTCGGTTCTCTCTCTGCGCCCCAGAATGCGGGAGGGGTGGCCAAGAATAGGCAAAGAGACTTGCCAAGACACCCGCTCAGACTTTGACACATGCACCAGCGGGAAATCATGAAGAGGAACCTACATTCTGCCGGCATCTCGCTCTATAGGACGTTGGTCTTCCGGGTCTCGTCACCCCGCCCGGCGACTTTGCCCCGTATGAAGAAGGGAGGGAAAGGGGTTGAGAGAGTGTGTGCGTGCGTGGCGATGATGGTTTCTTCTGCCCTCGGAACTCACATGCTGATGCCAGTCTCTTTTATGTGTTTATCTTTCCTTCCCCGTTTTCCAATCACCAGGGGAATCGCCGTCATCTTTCATCCTAGTTTGAAGCTGAGAAGGACTTCTCGATGAACAGCCTCCCCGTATCCAAATACGCCCAACTTATGGTTGCCTCGTTATCGCGAACTTCAACAGCTTGGTGAGGACGTGTTCCTCAACCAAAATCGAGAAACAGGCAAAGCCCTCGCAGGCATGCCACGAGTCGCTGGGAAGCCAAAACCCTCCCTCCTAGCTCTATAACAGCGCACGTCCAATACGCAAGTGCGCGGGCTGCTAAGAGGGGAAATCTTGCAGAAGGGGAGAAAAGAGATCAGCCCGATCTCTCCCATTCAAACACACGATAAGAGAGTTCTTTACTATTCTCGTCGTGTCTCCCCTGCACAAAACTCAACTCAACTACCCGTTCCCGTCCCCCATGCCCTCCAGCCTCTAAGTCATTGCAGACCTGGGGAATACCCTGTGTGTTTGCATTTCCTAAGCCACACACGCACACCCAAGTCACCGCCCGTGACAGGCTTTCATTGAGTTATGAAGCAACGTTTGCTGGGCAGGCTGGGATGGATCTACGAAACGTCCCAAGAGGCCAAGTCCCCGATACAGGTTTGCTTCAAACGAAACTCAGCTTTTGCGTTCTCGTCTGCAAGATCCCACGATTCCCAGTATCACCTTAAGCCACACAGGCTTGGAAGAGTTTATATGGTTTCAACCCGAAAAGAAAGATAGTCCTCGGCTGAAAGTTCTTTGACAAGCAACCAAAGCCGGGCGTAACGTAAACAAACGACCTGATTCCGGCAACGTCACGGCCCGGATGGAAGGCAGAGGGACAAGATAGACAACTGACGGGATCCGACGTCACATCAATCATCCATCGTCCTTCCTTTCCGTGATCCTACCATAACCTCACATGCAGCCATAGATGTTCTGCTGTCATCTACGCAAGGACTACTCTTGCAAACCCAGATTATTGCCGCGGATCGTTGGGACGATGTCAGAACCTTGGTGTGTGCGGCTGTGTGCCGCAGATTATGAAACAGTCCTCAGGGACTTGACCTCATGTCGAGACCTCCGTTTCGAACCGCGAGGTAACAATTTTGGCCTTCTTTTCGTCCCTTTTCAATTTTTTGTAGAGTCTGTCCCAAGTCAGACTGACGCAAAAGCATCCTGGATCCAGGGTGATCCGGGCTCGTCGACACCATAGAGAGAGCAGTGCCCAAAAAAGGACTCTGCGTAACAAAGCTCTTGTTCAGATGACAATGGCTGGCTAGTTGGGGCGGAGTCTAAGCCATCCGTCATGCAGCCTTAAGCTTGTCGTACATTGTAGGTTGTTGTTTTGGATGAAGGTAAAATTGAGTCCTGAGTTCTCCCGGAGACGTCTAAAGCCGTGGGAGTCGATCATTACGGGCGTCTCTGGGAGAATGATATTCATCTCATCATACCCTCTGTGCATCGGACTATTGTACTCTGAACAGGATTTCGCAATACTTGTCAGAAATTCAATGGCAGGGGCTGAGGCTTCTGACTGTGGTCACCTGTTTGATGGGGTTAGTAGTCTAAATTGAGCTTTGTTTCCTACGGGCATCAACTGGTGTTTTGGCAGCATGGTCTGGTCTTCTCTGATCATTTGATGGGCCTCAGAGAACCTCACTTGATTCACTACCATGTCCGGTTGACAGCGATCCAGGACTAAAGATTCGCGGAGATCCGCGATGCCACATTCTAGTTGCCGTGCCGTGCCAAGACAAAAATAAAATAAAGGGCAAGCGTCACCTGAGGTCCCAAAGGAAGCGATTAGATTCTCGAGGATAATCCTGCTTGGGCAGTTACTTCACAGCCTCATCTGAAGACTTGGCTAAAGTCTGCTCAAGGGCCATCTGTGTTTTCAGATCGAAACTTGGGGTGTTGTAGGCATCGAGATACTTCAGTAGGTAAGCGCAATCGACGAGAAACCACACTATAAGCATCCGGCGTTCATTGACATGGAAGAATCTTGCGTCTCAAAATCCTGGAATGGTCGGGCTCTCAACGACCCGAAGGCACCTTCTTCTAAGACACGACATCATCTACAGCCGAGCACGGAGCAGTGAAATGACTTACAGTATCAGCTGTATCGAGGCGAGACCACCGAGAGCATGAGCCAGCATCCTCCTTGGAGGCAAGCACACGTAGCTGCTTGACAGCATGGCACCCGGAAACATATGGACGAAAGACCGACGAATAGAATTCTTCAGCCCTTGTGTGCGAACAGTCAGATGAGAACAATCTTACAGTCATGCTCGTTTGTGCTTATTATGACACACAATTGGCTTCCTTAGCTTTCCAGTGGCATCATCATTCATCAGCAGAAAAGAGAGGGCTTGATCAGCAACCGCCGTGATCATGATCATCCCTCTCCGAATCAGCGACGGGATTCACCGGCACCAGAACACTCACCATGCTGGCAGACATTTCTTCCGAGTCAGGCAGAATCTTGAGCCCAGATGCCTGCTGCAGAAGTTCGCCTGAGACATTACATCTCACATGTAGGAACCCACCCGCGTTAGATCGGCCGCCTCCCCGAGCGCCTGCTCCCCAACCCGCAGCACACGGGGCATAGGTATCTGATCCAGATGAAAAGAGACGTAGCTGGCACATCGTTTTTTGAGACAAGCTGCAATCAGGTCTCTCACCGGCGGTGAAGGACGTTGCAGGGCAGCAAGCATTGACCAGTCGATCGCTGTGCGCATACTAGCTGGCTGGCTTCCGGCCGTTGGAGGACGGTAAAGCACCGAGACGAAAATAGTATGTGCCGTTCAATCATGTAAGTCGCATAGCTAGCTTTCGAGCGCTTGAGCAAATTTCATCGTGCGGTGACTTGGAAATGGCAACTGGCAGGTGTACTGTCACCGTTTGGAAGCGTCGTGGACTGAAGGCTAGAAGAGAGCAGTGGTTCACGTTCCGAGGCACGTGGACATATCGGAAACGCCGGATCTGCCGCCACGCCGGCGATGGACTCGGGAGAATGATCATCGACCCCGCGGACGGCCCGTGGTAATCGAACTGAAGAGAACAATCACAGAAAGAAGAGAGTCTGTGAGTTGCGCCGTTGTAAGCGCTGTGCTGCACGTGCCTTTTGCGATCAATGAGACCCAGCCCGGGGGTTCGTATTCAAGATCGACTCGTCGTCGAACACTGAAAAAGAAGCGGTGAACAGTCGTCATGCGTGTTTCTAGACTCTATAGAGTTGAGACAGAATTGCCCGTCAATGGCGTCGGCGATGGGAAGAATGGTTTGTCACCTCAACATTGTCTTTGATGGGCACGTTCGGAAGGTATTCCACGAGGTCTTTACTGCAGGGAGCATCTTGGTTGTTTTCCGAGCAGATCGTCTTCGAACTAATACGGCGCCGAAAATAGGGTTTGGGGGAGGTTTTGCTATACCCACACGTGTTTCTCAACCGCGTTGCAAGCCCTGGCAGGAATAGACGAAGATGTCTAGATCCCCAATCTTTTCCTTACGTCTTGCCGATCTCAAAATGAGGCTCGATGCAAATTGAGCTTCACTGGAGAGGATGTATCCTTAGATGCGTTGCGCCTCCTGCAAGGCCTGTATTGCTGCAAGTCATTGTGTTGCGCCGGAAGAGGGGTCGAGAGGGGTCACAGCGCTGATCTAAACTGCAACGCAGCAAACCGAAGCCTTTTAGAATCATCCATCCGCGGCCAAATTTTTGGTATCTCGGCATGCCCGGTCTTGTGTCGTCAAACTCGTGATGGGTCAGTAGCATCAGGCGCAGCGATCCGTCGGACAGTAAAACCAAGATATGTCCGGTCCCTTGCAGTAACTCTGCAGCATCTCTCCTTCCTAGCAGGGCCGGACCACGATGACGACCAGGTGAGGGGAGAACTAACGCAGGGAGAAAGCAAATAAGAAGAAGTTAGAGACGACGACAACGAATCGCGCCCCGGTGAAAGAGCGGTGAATTGGTGTTCCTGCACACCATCATCGTTGGGTTATCCACCCTCCAAGCCGCAAAGTGGTCAGCCGATGGCTCCCAAGTCCGCTATAGCCTATAGACGGGCTTCAAGGCGTTGTTCCTGGTACCTGGCAGGCTCTGGAGCTGGTGCGGTTGTTGGTAGACTAGTGCTGGTATCGGGTAGCGGGCCAGTTGTTAGTGTGGTTTGAAGATGGCGTCAAGAGCTACTCATATTGACGAGGATCGGTCGACAAACGAACAGCTGCCTGCCTCCGAGTCTCCAAACCTTCAGCCTATCCGGCGTGGCTGTGGATCCGAAAACTCCAGGATCTGATGATTCAAGGGTACGGACACTCCAGCGCGGCGAGCGACCGCTACGGATCTTGGGACCCCACAGGGCAGAGGCTGATCAAGTCAAGCAGCGTCGATCCAAGCATGGATGAGGCCTGACGTGACGGCTTGCTGATAGAGCTTCTCGGCCATCGATGGTCGCTGATGAAAGACATGGAAGGGGATAACAGCGCAACGGCCTTTTGTCTGCAGTGACAGTTGTCAGGTATCCGTCTGTCGGCAGCCGATATGGCTGGGTTTGGCCTGGATAACCACCCAAATGTCCATCATTCGCACGACTGGACCGTTGGGCACTCGTAGGCTGTCCTTGGAAATCGTAAGAGATACCAGCACACCACTTGGGCAATACTGGCATGCCGCTTTCCAGCATCGGTATCTCGACCAGTCTGTCCCCCTCGACATGAAAGCGCGGCTTGCCATAGTCCGTACCGATTTTCTCGTCGTACTGGACATGAAAATTTCACAGGGCTCGGGTGGAAAAGGCTGGCATCCCATGTGTGACACACGGCGACTAAGAAGGCATAATGCCTGTTTCTTCACCAGCCTGCGCGTTCCTCGATTACTGCGAGAGTGACCGGATGAAACCTGACAACGGAGAGGAGCACGAGGGGGTCATCGAAGAGGGGCGGTTCTTCGATGGCGTTTGTGGTTTATCGATTAAAAAAAGGCTGACGGGGCTATTAACTACTTTGTCGCGGGAGGAGGGGTAGATTCCTTGGCTGGTGTGGGCGAGGTGACACCAGGCTCGAAGGAGGCCACTGACGTTGAATGTATTCGAAACTTGTTCCGACGGAGTCCAGACTTAGCCTGGGTCGGGCTGGAGATATCCCGCTGTCAGGCGACTGATCCACGCTCAATTCAGTCCGACCTGCAGAACACGAACGCATCGTCGGTTTTAACGGACTGCGATAACTCAGCGCGGAGTAGGCCTCGGATTCGATCTCCCTCTGGAGGCAGGAGGGGTAGAAAATGCCACTAAAAGCTCCTACAAGCCTGCAGTCATCAGGATGCGATCTGAGTGAACTGAGGGCCATCAACGGCGGCAACGGCGTGACGCGCGCTAGGCAGGCGGTGAAGTTCAAGCTGAAGTACAAGCGGCATGGCCCGCGAACACCAGGAACGCTAGACTTTGAATAGTTTCGGCCGAATGTCCCAAGAAACAATTAGTCTTGTTCCAGCAATGACCTTGACTATCTGACGATCATAGCTCACTGCCGTTCACCGTACCCAACGGGTATGCTTTTGACGGGCTCGTATTGCTCCTCTTGCTAAAGGACGTCGGAGCGCCAGCTCAAGGGACCCCCAGGGCTCAAGTTACAAGTATCCGTACGGAGTAGAATCGTTGCATCTGCGTCGACACCACCCTGTTGCCGCCGGGCGGCTCGAATTGGAGAGGATAGCAACGACTATCACACTGGTGGTTTATCTACTCGTGTGGCGTTTGCGGGGCACTTTGCATGCGACGCACCTCACTACTCCATTCAGAGTGGTGGCTTCTCTCCTGACAGTGCATGGCTTGATGAATATCATCACCTGGCCCTCCATCTTCTGTTGTATGTGTGTGCTAATGTACGATAGTCCGGTGTCAAAGAGTGGACTTGTTTCTCCCGGGCTCGACAACATCGCGAGCGCCCACTTATCGCAAGGGGCGTCGAGAGAAGGAATAGACGAAGAAGAAAAACCGCAACACCAACGGCCAACGGCGCAAAGTCAGCCAATCACTCTACTCCATCCAACCTGTGGGAAGACGCAGTGGGGACGGATCATGGTCAAGGTCTCGAGGTCTGTGTGCCAGTCAGTGCGGGCTGCATCTCGGTATGCAAGGTACCAGGGGTAAAGACGGTGGGAAATGGTAAGAATATTCGGACACAACTGTGCTGAATACAATAGTCTAAGAGGTAAGACTGGTGTGATGAGACAACGAGAAATCATCGGTGAGGATGGAGAAGAAGAAAGCGTTGGTCAAGAATGATGCACTCTAACTGTGAGCGCCTCTGCCGCCCAGCGCCATCCTCTGGTGTCTCGGTCAAGAACGGCTCTGGCTCTGTCTTCGCCAAGTACACGATCGATAGAATATTCGTAAAGCTGGGGATTGGGAACAACACGCCTTTGGCTCGAAATCCATTAAAGCGGTATACGAGGTTGTTCCTGGGCTCCCTTGCTTGCTTGTACTTCGTACTGCAGGATCCTGGTGATCAAAGACGGATCGGCCCTGATCCGTCTGGACAGTCTCGACTCTCGAGAGCGCGGACAAACAAGCTAGCTCCATTTGGATCATCGTCGTTTTCCTGAACGGAAATAACTCCGAGTCTCAACGGGTAGGCTCCGAGGACGGTGCCGTATTGTCCTCCACACTGCTTGACGCCTTCAGGTTCTTGTACATTTGGAAGCGCGGAAATGGTTGCAAACTGTATGTCCTGTTGATGGCAGTATCGCAGAAACCGGCTTGGATATTTGCCGCCAAGTGCGACATCCAATATCAGACCAGAAATGAGCCCTTTCGCCGAAGTTTTGGCCCATTGAGGCATGCTCTGTCACTCAAGACTCGCAGCTACGGCCAGCTCTCATCTCGAAAATAGCTAGTAGCGGACAGTTATTGCCAAATGAGGATTAAGCCATATCATTCCAAAGAATAATACTTCAAAGGAAGATGATGCAAATGCCGGTTGTTAACGTTTCGTCACTCATTTGCCACTAAATGCCACCGACCCAAGTTCTTGCTCGCTATGGCACGCCAGAGTGCCGCGTAGACCGTTGAATCCACTGATCGTTCGTGGAAGAGTCTGGGAAATTGGGAGTGAGGAGATATCAGAGCGTGGCCAGGTGCGGATAGTTGCTTAATCGAGCCATCGTCCGCAGTAGGCCAGGATCATTCAAGGCTCGATATGCACTAGAGCTTCTGAATTCCAAGTTCGAGTTTCTGCGTGAACAACGCCCGCCTTCAACCCGCGTCGCCCTTGCAGGAGACCCGATGAGGAGGCCTGATAGCGATGACGCCTGGCCAATAACTGACAACCACGACGAAGAACGGCGGGTCGTTTCAGCGCAGCTCCTCTGAGTGAGGTCGGCATGTCTAATTGGTCTGTGGTGTGTCTCGCTGGGTAGTGCTGATTTCCCCGCGCTGTGGTGTTGCTGTTTTTTTTTTCTTCCTTTCCCTGCTGCCTCTCACGCCTCGCAACTTTCCTGACCTGGCCAAGGCAGACTGCATATCGAGCTGGGGTAGAAAACGCCATTACCACAACACCAAGGGGTATTGACAGATTGAAGCTGAATTGCTGAAGGAAGGATGATTCGGGTGTCCATGGAGCCGGTACGGCGAAACGGCCGCGGTTTGCTGAGAGTGGTACACACCACAGTTATCAATGATGACTGCCATCCCATCCCTATTCCAGGGCATCCTGATTCTAGACCCAACTTTCGGGCGACACCTCGAGTGTGGTGCTGTTTTACTGGCCTGGCGTCTAGTGTCGTCGGCTGGCGTGGTGTGGCGATGGCAAGCCAGCAGGGCTTCTTGACTCGCTCACCGCTTCGGGTACAAGACGTGGGGGACCTGGGCTTCGTTGACCTGGGCGTCCCAAGTTCGAAGCGGCCGGCGCCAGAGATGACCGGTCACAAAATTCTGGTGTAAAGTTTCGTTCGGAATGCCAACTCGGCCCTGGTTCTCGGCCGGCTTCGTTTCCAGAATAGTTCATGGGGGAGTAGATAGCTGTTGCTCCGGGCCCGCCCCGCTGCCAATGCCCACTGATTTTGAGGTTCTGTAGCACGACCACGGGCTGAGAAATGGGTCATCGCAGACGATGGGCAGAGCCATGCATGCCAGTCCAGTGCATTGCAGGACAAGCGCAGGGCATGTGCAGCCAGAGATGCTCAAGATAGCAGAGAGAGCCGGTGAGATGGCTGGGTGGCTGCGCGGGGCCTATTGCGGGCAAAAGCAGCACGGGACGAGCTGTCATTGATGTTGTGTCTCGTCAGATGGCTGCGAGCCTGCGACAGGCGTGACCAGTGGTGAAGCCTACGCGCTGCAAGGATGCGGGGATTTTGACAAGGCCCCCCGGGCGATGGACAAATTGCTTGCATGGAAGCGAGTGAAGGGCCGCAGAGGGGATCTGTGGATTGAGCGCTGAGATGCCATCACAGTTCCATCCGTATCCGACGTTGAGAGTTGAGTGCCAACGTAGGGATGGTGTATCCGTACTTGGTAGACAATACCGGAGCGAGCGTTGCAGAGGCCAAGGCGGTTGGACTTGCACTTGCACTTGCTCTCGAGGGCATGTAGAGTCGGGCTGCACTCGCAGTCGGGAATTGTGCGCCGAGTGGCATTTGGCTTGTCCACCGAGCTTCACCTTTGCCCTCCAAATATCTTAGCGGGCGGTAGGTGGCTAGGACGAATTAGTCTGTACTTTGAAGTGGTCTGGCTCTTGCTCAAAAACAGGCGTAGCACCACGACCTTCCTGAGGTAGCGTGCCACAGGTGCGTGTTCGCAGGTTCTGGCACGGCCGTCCCTCGTCGTACCGTAGCGGACCGGACGTTAGGTGTCCGAAAATACATACAGTTGGCGATGGCGGGTGGTGATGGGATGCTGAAAGGCCAGTGATGAGGTCTGTGGTGGAATTGGAACGGTGACTGCGACACGTGAGCAGGCGTTGATGTGTGAGTTGATTGACGCTTGATGGATTAGATGGCTCGAGGTGAGGATATTCGGCGTTGTAATCGAGGGTGGTTGGCGGCGGAGGAAGACGGGATGAGATGAGGAGGGGGGATAATTACCTAACTGTGCAAGGTACGTACTGCCCTGTAGAGGAGACGGACGGGCGGGAGCGAGTGGGGCATCTCAGAGTACGTACCCATGACTATGGGACGGGACGTATCCTTGCTAAACGCTCCCCTTCCTCCTCCTTCCCATCTTCTCCTCACCTCACCGGGCTGGTTAACCTCACCTTTCTTTACCTTACCTAACCCTACCTTTTTCTTACCTGACCTCTCATTTGCCTGCTCACATATCCTTCCTACGACTTGGCTTGTTTTAGACGCGGTGGACTTGGCACTTGCACCAACAGTCAGCAAGGGCGTCCCGCCCTCTTTGTTTCTTTTTCTTTCCGTTTGTGATCAAATGAGGCTTATTCTAGTGCTCTGCAACCGCCGCGTCCGTGTCCTTCGTCCTCGGCACCTACACGTGTATTCATAGTGTCTACGATTCACGAAAACCCAGGTACCTTGCCTGCCGTAGGTAGTAGTCGTGGCTAAGTTAGCGTGGTAAGGTTCCTTGGCTTCACGATGGAACCGATCATGACTCTGCTGCACAGATTCCATGTTGCACAGAACTCGGGATTCCGGCTTGGGCTGGATAGGCATTTGCCGTTTGTTTCCGCCGTCAAAACTCAACCAGACAAAAGAGATGGATTGTGTCTGCACATTTGAGTTTCAAAAATGCTACCAATCGCCCAAATTAGAAGCATTCGAGCCCTTCCATCTCCGGACCGAGCAACACCCGCAGCAGGATGGGATCCAACAAGACTCGAGATGATGGAGCCTAGACGTCGATGTGGTTGCTTTGCTGCGGGATGCGTGCTGTGCTGTACGGTCGTTGTACGTTGCATTTTGCATTTTTGCAGGCCCTGCTACTCCTCTTCCCCCTCCTCTCCCCCTCTCTCCAGCCTCTCTCCCAGAGTCCCCCTCCCCCGTCCTAGCCCAGGTGCCTGCGTAATAGAATCTGCATGAGATCTATCTTTTCACGTTGTTGCCGGGGTCTGACCTTTTCCGTGCTGCACCTCGATGGAATGGGGCAGCTACAGGGACAGAGGCACAGAGGATGGTCTCACTCAACCCCGATGCCCATTACGATCCCAGCAACATCACGGTGCACAGCAGCCAGGGCACCTAATCCCACACCCGCCATGGTTTCTTTTCCTTCGTTCCTTTCCAATAGCCTGCCTGCAGCTTGCCGACTGGGCAGTTGTCTATCCTCAAATGTTTCCTCTGTGGAGGTTGTGGAGGGGGAGGAAGAGGGGGAAAAGGGAAAGATGGGAATGCGCTCCGTCACTTACAAACCAACCGTTACAAACTTGCCTTACAGTAACCTCACCATGAAGCCAGCCTGCCTCTGCTTATCGTGGCTCTGCTTTAGCTCAGCCCGGAGGAAGAGGGCTTCTCGGTGCTCATTCGCCCTTCCGTTTCAACACCATTCCTCAAGCCCCGGTGTGTTCCTGGGTCCTCCTTAACTAACCCATGTGCATGGCTGGATCGATCCTGGGAAGAGCCCCCTCCATTAACGGCCACGAGCCTTTGGTCAGAAATCAGCGCAGAACCACATGGCACCACCCAGGCCGTACAATCCGCTCTCTGGGAACCCAGCTTGGGCAGCATCACATCAAGCCTGCTCAGTGTCCCCCCATGCTGACTGGACGTCGAAACAGACAACTGGTCAGAGCAATTAAGATGAGGCTGTTTAGGCTGCCCGGGTGCCTGTAAGTGTACGAGGAAAGAAAAAGCTCCGAGAGGATCGGTCGGTGTCTTGGTCGACCCGACAAACAAACCCTGTCTTCTCTCTCTCTCTCTCTCTCTCTCTCTCTCTCTCTCCGAGTCTGTCTGTCTGTCCCGGTTCCGACTCCGACTGCCTCCACCACGTTGCGATCCGGCGATGGTGACAGCCGCGCTACATCCGTGGACTCTTGTCGTTGGATTTCGAAGCGGATGATCCTCGATGGGCTGTCACTTTAACTCATCCTCGGGCGTTTGTTTCGAACCTAGACTCTATCGATTCTTTCCCTTCTGCCATCCCACCTCGTTCTCGTCATCGGCATCCCGAAGCCCCCTGTGCAACCAATCGATTGCAGACGGATGGATCAAGAAACAACATACACAAACTGCCCTGATGGACGATACAGTCCCTGGACCTTGTCTTTTGGGTGTGCAAAGCAGTGTACACTCTACGGATTGTGCGTGAGAGGGAAAGAAAGTGTGTGTGTGTGTGCCGTACGGATACCTGACCGGACTTTACCTGACGTAAGGTAAGCTTCCGTGCCTGACCTGAGAGACTAGAACTCAAGAAGGTCCAAGTCTGTCCTTCCACGTTGCTATTCCCAGCCTTCTCCCGACGCCGCCATGGTCCCCTTGGGTCTTCTTCCACGTCGCTCACCTGTCCTTCTATCTGATCCAACGCCAACGCCAACGCCGCAACCAACGCCGGTACGGTACACCGATATCAGCACCAAGCACAAAGAACCAGCACCGACACCAACAGCAATATACCGTTTATGCTAGGCTAGCCAGTCCCATCCAGCCAAGTCAAAATTTAGAAACATCACAACGTCCTCCAATGGCTACCCGCAGACGCTCAGGTACCGCAGGACGCCATGCACACTAGACACAGACACACACATACACACACTCACTCACTCACTCGCACACCCCTCTTTTGCTCTCGTCTGCTCACCCCCCTGTTCCTGTTCCTGTTCCTGAGTCTCTTCCCTCTCGTGGCCTCTCACCCACTCATCTCTCTCTCGCAGTCTCAACTCTCAACTCTCAACTCCTCATTCTTCCGCTCAGAAGCCAAGCCTTCGCCTGTCCTCGTCTCGTCTTCTCATCTTCTTCTTGACTTCACCCCTCCCCCCCTTGTTCATGGACCCCGACACACAACTCAACCTCCGAACGCTCCACTCAGATCCACCTCTCCACTGTCTTGAACCTGATGCGTTGTGTGCAGCTCGGTTCGTTCGTTTCTTCCCACTCGTCACGGACGATTTCTCTTGACCACAGACACCACCACACTAGGCACAGGAACCCGCAACTGACCACCACCATTCTCTGGCTCTTCTCTCACATATTCTCACGCACACACACACTTACTCGCTCTCAGCTTCTCGCCTCCCCCCTCCTCCTACACACGCGCACACCACACTAAAGGATCTCGACTTCCTGTCCTGCATCATGGATCATGGCCACACCCCCGGAAAGGCCCCATAATGTCCTTGCGGGATTATTCACATGCCGTCGTTCCCAAGCGGGTGCACGGTTGTACAGCTTATCCCTACCCTGTCTCTCTCTCTCTCTCTCTCTCTCTCTCTCTCTCTCTCTCTCTCCAGGCACACTCTTCCTCGCCGTACGGCGTATGCACCAAGCTGTGTGTACATGTCTAAGTGCGTGGTGTATCCGCACATCGTGTGTGCGTGGCTGCAAAGGTGGCCCAAGGTGCCACCGCCCGTCAATCTTTACATCCTTCCCACGTCAGTGCTGCCGCAAGTGCCGCATCGAAGGAACCAGGTGCTTTCTGCTACGTTTTCCCACACCTACATGGCAGCTATATACATAACCCCAGGACCGCCGTCCACTATCTTCTAGATTCGGTCTCCGCGAGCCTCTCTTCCTCGTCTCCAACCCTTTCCCTTCCAGTTCTTGAAGGTCTCCAGCATCAACCGGCTCCCAACGTCAACTTTGGAGTCGTGGAACCTGATCTCTGGTCTGTCTGTTATCCTGACCTGGTACCGAGATCATTCACCCAAACTGTTTGTCACCCTTTCCTATAATCTCTTATTTTCCTTGAGTGTCTATTTGTCGATTTTTCCTATCACGGATGATTCCAAAAGCCCAGTGGTGCAAGTTGTCCATGGCGCTGGACAACATCTGAACACTAGCTTGTAATACGAACACTTGCTTGTTCCATATATTATATCGGGCTGGCCCATCCACGCCGAAACGGCATATAATACCTACTGGACGATGTCGACGACGAAACTGCTCTCAGCGGTGGTTTGGCTTTCGAGCCTCTCATTACCAACCAGAGCTTTGAATCCAAGAGACGACACTACCGACTTCGAAACTGAAGAGGAAAGACAAGGCAAGGGCAAGGGCAAGGGCAAAGGAAAGGGAAAAGGCAAAGAAGTCGTACCGAATGTTCCCGTCACGCCACCCGGACTCGACGCCCTACCTACAACCGGCACCGATCCTGCGCCTGTCCTCGGGCCCGGGACGAACAATGGGGATCCAAACAATCCCAACAATGGAGGTGTGACCTGGCTCAACCCTAGCACTGAACACTCAGTCTGCGATGCCTTCATCCATCTGCCGTTCTTTATCACACCGACGATCTCATCCGAGCCCCGCCTTACTTCACCTGACTGACTCCATGGACACCTTCGGACATTTCCTTTCCGTTTTGCTCTCACTTGACTTACATATAAATCGGATAAAGAGCTAACACATCTTCACAGCACCTCCCCACAACGAGGAACCACCACCTCCTCCTTCGGAAAACCCTCCAAATCAGGACCCCCCTCCACCTCCTCCCCCACCAGAGGAACCGCCGCCGCCTCCTCCTCCAGAAGCGCCTGCTCCAGCTCCCCCGCCCCCGCCTCCGCCCCCGGAGACCACCTCACCGCCGCCTCCGCCTCCCCCGGCCCCTACCACCTCGGTTGAAACTCGAAGGTCAACGACGACACCACGTTCTAGTCCCGTAGTCTCGACTCCGAGACCTCCAGTGCCATCAGTCTCGTCTTCACCAACTCCAGTTCGCTCGTTTCCTCCACCGGTCTTTTCGCAGCCGAGTGCACCCCAACCAAACTTTCCGCAGCCGTTTCCACGACCAAGTTCAACACCAAAGCTTCCTCAGTCAAGCTCAACGACATCTGTTATCGTTGTACCTCCGCCACCAACTCCAGTTCCACTGACCACGTTGCCGTCCTCTGCTCAGCCGACTGATGCTGGCAGCAGGACCCCAAACCTCACGGCGCCAGCTGCACCAAGCTCAACCTCTTTGACTGACCAGCACGGCGCCATGAGCGGGAACAAATCGCAGGGTATTGAGGGCAACCGTGGCCTTGTGGTTGCTCTGAGCACTGTACTCTCTGTGCTTGGAGTGATCATTATCATCGGGGCTATCTTTCTCTGCTATCGTTACCGCCGGGGCCGCCTTCCGTTCAGCCGCCGGGGCAACAGCCCGATTGATGACGAGGAGATTGAATCTTGGAAGGCCTGCCGTACAATCGAGAAGTGCACGACCGTTGTCGTGGATAAGCATGACTCGGCTGGATATATTCGCAAGCCAGCCAGCGTGATTGTCTACCAGAACCACAGCCAGCACCAGCCACGCCCTTCTACGGATACGGCCCCTCGCTCTCTGTATCACAAGCGGAGCATGGACAAGAAGAGTATTGATATCCCTCAAACTCCCGTCCTCGCACGAGCCCCAAACGCACGCGTTGGCCTCACTGACGACGCCGTCGAGGGTGATCTCGCCTTCCTCCCATCTCCCAAGCGACAGAACTCCAGGCTATCCAAGTTGCCGTCTCCTCGTCATGGCAGACACCGCAGCTCTCGCAGCAGCGCGAGTGTCGGTAGTCTGCGCGAGCACTGGTACGGCTACCACACTGACACGGAAATGTCTCCCCGTCCTTCGGTGGACCCTTACTCCCGAATGCCTTCTTCGGCACACTCGGATGTGAGGCACCAGCGCGTTTACTCTTCTCCCTCAAACCCTCCAAGGCTCTCACTTGATGAGGAATATCACATGGGTGGCCTCTCCCCACGCCCTTTCCTACGGCAATCAGAAATCGGTCTCGCCGTAGGCTGAAGTTACGATTTTACGATTCTACGCCGGCTGAGGAGACTTCTCTGACGCCGAGCTTTGTCTTACAACCAACTTTTACGAATATTGCAGGAAAACTTTTTGCAACGAACCCTGCGGATGACAGGAGCACGCCACACGCTAGACTACGACATTCGTTTCAGCCCTCGCGCTCTTCCCGCGGGACTGGAGAGAAGTGCGGGGTGTGCTATTCCGTGGGACATTTTGTTTCATGTCCCGATGGATGGCAGCATATCTCAACTCCTATGTGGCTTAACACCATCACGAGGGTGGTGGGTGAGGCCAGCCGTATCAGACTTAGAATGGAACTTCATGGCTCAACAATCCTCCCCGCCACCATTACTCTTTGAGCTTTCTTCGTGATGCCCTCTTCGTAGTGGCATGGAAGACTCAGCGGACGCATCTGATGCAACCCAACTCCCCTCTCATGTTCCTCTTAACTGAGCGAGCATCATATCGCTTCACAATTGCCATATTTGGCAAGAAGCTTCGATGTCTGAAACGACGTCTTTTTTCCCCTTTAACGGTGGTTCATTGGAGTCACTCATGACGGAACACCACATTTTGGAATGGTGATGGATATACCCACATGACAAACGGTCTCCTTACAGCTGCAACGCAGCCCATTTTCTATATTTAAGTCTCTAAATACTTCGCCGGGCAACCAAACTTAGCCCCGAAACAAATTCAAATACAAGTCATACATCTAGCGCGACGATCCAGATCTCAATGTGATATGGGTGATGCATATGAACCCGAGGTGAATCGCGTCGGTGGCAATATGAACTCTTAGTCTAAACAGCGCTGATTCCTTTTGGGAGACTACGACGAACAGGTTGTCACAATGTCAGAATGGGAAGCTTTTTGCGTGCGCGAATGGTAGAGCAGAGCGCGGCTGTCCTGCTCATCATCCCATCTTTAGGCGGCAACCCTCACGTCGACCACGCTGCTGACAGCTTAGCAACACGCAAAAGTTCCCCAAGAATCGCTGGTGAAACGCGGAACAAGGAGCATGGGGGTGTGCTCCTCTCCCCTCAACAACCTGGAAGAAGAGAAGAAGGTCATCAAAACAAATAGGTGCCGGCACTTCACTGACTGACTGACGGAGCGGGAGGGAAGGGGAGGGGGGCAAAGAAAAGCAAGATTTCGTGGCCAAGGTTTCGATGACACTCTGGTGTCGTGTTCTTGGCCTTCTCTTTTGCCTGCCGTTATTCCACCCTCCCCCTACGCAGCGCCGGCCACATTGCGAGACCTGCCATCCCAGGATGACGGGCGCGATGGCAGGCGGGACAGGTGAAACGCGAATGCTCTTTTTTTCCTTCTTCCCCGCCGCCGGGCCCGGTGTGGGTGTTGCAACACAAAGTTGGCACATCGGGGACGAACGCGAAGCGACAGGGAAGACGCCCGGTCGTTGTGGGTATGGGAGTGGTGAGGTGAAGGATCTGTCTTTGAATTTTGAGTGGTGTCTTCGCATTTGGATACAGACACATGGCATACCTTTCTGCCTCTTTCGATCGTCACCACTACGGCTGGTGAACGCCATTATCAACTTGCAGGAGTTGGATGGATGGTCGTAAGGAGGCTGGGGCGTGTTGTCCTTGTCGGTTCATCATTATCCATAGCAACTTGTTACAAGTACAAGTCGCAACGGTACAATTCTTTCGTTCCATCTTCTTTTCTTGATTTGTATTGTTCCCTCGTCGTGATGTGGATTTCATTCGTTGGGGAAAGAAAGCTGTCCATCTTCGGAGTCATCGGGGGCGGCTGGATGGAGTGCTCCTGGTCCCTCGGATGTTTCTTACTTTCTCAATTCTTTCCATCTCTTCCCTCTGGAGTCTTCTGACACCTGTCATGACGTTTCTTATGTTGTAGTCCCCTCGGTTTCTGATGCCTGGACTCTTTTCTCCGCGTGCGCGCGTCTTCTTCGTGTCATATCTGCGGGTTCACGACTTATTTCGGATGTTTGCGGGGAGAAGGAAGAAACATGAGAGAAGCAGGGGGAGATGTGCGAAGGCGAATCCTGAGCTTTGGGGTGTGCGATAGTTCTAGATTCGTACGTTGGGGCAGAACGAATCGGGGACGAGGTTACGGGAGTTGTAGTGTGAGGTATGAATGGCAGGGTCAGGGAAGATGCGAGGTGTCTTGCCAGCCCGCTGCTATTGGGATGTCCGTTGATGGTTGGAATGAAGATGGATGATGCTGCGACTTGAGTTCCGTTGAACAACGTCGGCAGGTCGAGGCCAATATGATGGATGGATATGTGTGAAGATGTCGTTCGTTCTTCTTGACTACCTTGTCATCGATGAATTCCAAAATTAGATTTCTTCTGGAGATCTCGTTCGTGATTTTAGGCTCTTCTCATACTAAGGTAAGGACGTTTGTAAAGTTCAAGTCAGTTGCCAATAAACAGTCTACTTCAGCTTAGATGGCTGAGCGAGCAGTATCTATCTACTCGGTCCAACGATGGCGAATACCTGTCAATGCGTAAAATGATGTGTAAGACCGGGAATCACAGTAACCGCACTCTGAGTTGTTTATGCTTACATTAGTTCGCAGTTAAATAATTAGTGAGTGACCTGAGCGTAATGAGTGAGTGAGTGCAATGAGTGAGGGTATTAGATGAGAACGGTGATCGATTGGAGCCATGAGATGAGAGAATGACAGACGCACTTAACGCGTATGCACCTGAAAGCGGGTCCAGATCGCGTCCACTGGACCGCAAGACGCGCTGACCAACGACGGCAGCGCACCTTAACCACTCGTTGTCCTGCCCACCGCTTCGGGAACCGACTCTCGATTCTCAAAGAATATTGATCCCACCTCATCTGGCGGCAGTGAAAGGGTCGGCTCGGCTGCTTCAGATACCTCAATTGGCCCTTTGGCAGCAGCTTTGCGAGCTTGAGTATCCTCCTGGTTCATTGACAGACCACGGCTCATCCCGAGGGGCTTATCGCATCTTCCCTACACATGAAAAACCTCAACTCTTGGACACACAGCCGACAAAAAGCATTAAAACAAACATCTTTCGAGGCCAGAGAAGAATAAAATCGTGTACTACTTCATCGAGCCCATGCAAACTCATGAGAAGGAAGAGACTCTTGAGGCAACCAAGCTAAGAAACAGTGTCCAGGGGTGGTATACAGAGTACGGATACAACTCCATTTCCTCCCATTCTTTCTCCACAATAAATCCCTCCTAGCACCCGCTACCTCATTACCCGACTCAGTTCTCGACCCTCGACCTTCTCACTCGCTCTCACAAATCATGCCTCCGCGCAAAAGCGACGCGAGCCGGAGAAGCGACGTGTCCAACGCCCGCTTCATCGTCATGGACGAGGAACCCTCTGCCTCCTCTACACCGGCCAAGGCCGCGGCGGCACCCGCTGCCGCTGCTACCGCCGCCGGCACCCCGTCTTCAGCATCGGCGGCCAAGCCCTCCTCAGCGACACCGTCCAGTGTGCCCGCGCCGACGCCCGACTATGCCGCCGCCGCGGCCGCTGCAAAGTCGACGCCGGCGACGACGGAGAAGAAGGAGAGTC